AAAAAAAAAAAAGACCCCCTGCAGGGCTGTCTTTACATGACTGGACCTGCATCCATCTCTCTTAGGCCCAGACACCTTTTCTCAGGGACTGTTTGAGTATAATTAAAGGCGACTGCTGAATTCAGCAAGTGCCGAATGGTAATGGCAGGTTAACAGTTGGGGCTGTTGAAGAAGCCTGAAAGGAAATGCTGGACTGATGTTCCCACAGTAAGGGTGGGCCTGTGGTGGGCCTGACCAGTCCTCAGGAAAGCCTCGGGCCCCAGGTGCTCACCTCAGGCTGACCCTGAGACTCCCCACAGTTTAGCACTGTCCACTGCACGGATCACAAGCCCAGAGCCCTGAGCTGAAGGCCGTGGGCATCCCCGGCCTGGACAGAGCTCCCGCCAGTCATTACCCGACTACTCAGCAAAGGGAGGTCTCAATGGCCAAGCACAACAGAAAATATCTCACAAATTTAGTTCAGAAAAGTCACTAAATAACACACAACAATATTCTTAGGCGTGGGGCGACCATGACTTTCAGTTACATTACCTAAAAATGTCCAGTTTTCAATCAAATAAAACCATAAGCTATACCACAAAACAAGGTGACGTGGGCCACATTCAGGAACAAAGAACTCTGGGAGGCAGTCCCTGAGAAAGCTCGTTTGTCAGGCTTGATTACATAAAGACTTTATCGAGCTATTTTAAGTGTGTCCCAGGGAGTAAATGAAACCATATCTAAGAAACTATAGGACACGATCTCTTATCATGAAGATCTCAGAGACAGAAATTAAGGAAAAAGAACTATGTAAAATTCTGCATTTCAAAATTACAGTAACTGAAGCGAAAACTTCACTTAAAGGGATTTAAGAGTAGCTCTGACCAGGCAGAAGTGAAAGCAGAGAACCCAGAAGACAGGCCATTTGAGATGTTCCTGTTTGAAAAAAGAAGGAAAAATGAGAGCCTCAGGGGTTGTGGGACACTGTCAAGGCAAAACACCTTTCTCATAATAGGATCCTAAAAAGTGGGAGAAAATGATAGAAAGCGTCCCAAGAAATATTGGCAAAGATAGAGTCCCGGATTTGAATGAAAACAATCTATACATCCAAGAAGCTCAAGATCAACAAATTCCCAACAGGATAAAAATCAGAGATCCACACCCGGCGCATCAGAATCAAATCTTTAGATGTAGCACCTTCCCTGCCCCAAAACAGAACCAACCAAGAATCTCAGAAGCATCCAGAGAAGCAACTTGTCACTGACAAGTTGGGTGGTGGCCAGATGGCAGTGGGATGGCATTTTAAGTGCTATCAACCAAAAATTCTTTTGATATAAACAGCGAAATGATTCTTTAAAAATGAAGGCAAAATTAAGACATTGCCAGATAAACATAGAGCGTGTTGTTGGCAAATCTGCCCTACAAGAGATACTAAAAGGAGCCTTCCGGCTGAACTTAAAGGACATGAGTTGGTAACCTGAAATAGGACACGAGTTGGTAACCTGAAATACAATGGAAAAAGAAAAAGCATCAGTGAGGTCACGAAGGAAAATTCAACAGAGACATTATCGATGTATTTTTGTGTTTGCAAATTTCTAAAAACACCTCTCTGATTTTAGAAGACAATTGCATAGATCAGTATCTACAAATATGTCGACGTATAGGATGTAACTTTTTGACGCCAACAGCACTATGGAGGGGGGAGGGAATGGAGCTACAGAAGAGCAAAGCTTTTGTGGATCACTGAAATTAAGTCGGTATTAAGTCCAACTAGATTGCGCCACCTGTAGGAGCTAACAAGAGCCCCTACAATCCCCAGAGAAAACCCTAAAAAGATAAAAACAATGTAATGAAAAAAAAATGGTTAGAATAGTACACTAAAAGATACCTAACATAAAATATGGCAGTCATAACTAGACTAGAACAAAAAGGTACAAGACACTGAGAAAAATAGAAAAATGGCAGCCAGAAACACTCACAAATCGGTAATCACACGAAATGTAAATGAATTCAATACTGTAATGAAAAGACAAAGAGATACTCTAGACTGAAATAAGTTGAAAGGAAAAGGACAGAAGAGTATATACCAGGCAAACAGTCACCAGAGGGCCGGAGCGGTCAGACTAACATCAGGGAAAACACTCCAAACCAAAAGTCGTCGTTAGTAACAAATAAGGACATTTCATGATTCAAGGGTCAATTCATTAAGCTATCAATCACATAACACACAGAGAGACCCATTTCAAAATTCACGAAACAAATTAGGACTGCAGCGACAAATCAAAAAAGATCTCGATGCCTCACATCCAATAATGGACAAAGTCGGCTACACAGAGGTCACAAAGCAAGACTGAACACGGGTGAAAGGATTAAGGTTCGGCCAAACATGACGTCACACAGGTGAGCGGCGGCGGCTGGCTTACTGCAAACAGGCTGCGACCCAGCCCCTGTCCCTGCTCCAGGCGGTGCGCAGTCGGCATGATAAAAGCTGGGCTGCACAAGCGTCCTTGACTGACCACCCGTCCCTCCGTCGGCCGCTCAGCAGGAACACTGAGGGCCGCGGCCGCCCTTCTCCGGGTCCCTTCTGGGTCTGAGCCTGCGCACGTGGGCACGTGCGTGCATGTCGGGAAGGCGTGCTTGTCCGAGGAGGTGCGTGCGGCCGCCCCTGCATGCACGGCTGAGGACTGCGCACGGTGCTCGAATGCTTACCTGCGCTACCTCACGGTCTCCGTGTGTTTATCGGATAAGGGTCCCAGACATAGCTATGAACGGCTAGACAAGGGTACTAGCAGTCAATTCTAGGGGATGAGATTTAAAGATCATTAACACACAAACACGCCTGCCGTAAGTGCGTAGAGGTCTTTTAATAGTGTCTACGTGTGTCTGTTTATTTTGTGGAGTCAGGATCAGAGAAGCAAGTATAGTAACCAGAAACATAAAAACAATAAGTTAACATACACAAAAGTTAATCACACAATGAAAACTGGAAATATATTCAAATAATTGCAAACCTGTAAGAAATATTATAAAATAAATTACCTCATAATATATTGAATTTTTTGCCTAAGGATTTAATGTATCATTTCTGTTCTAACCCCAAACATTAGGAAAAATTAAGACCAACTTTAAGAAGGTTCAATATTCGTTTTTATTATTTATAAAAAAATTAAGGTATCAGAGTGCATATGGTGTACTGGGATCTTGGTTTTTGCACATTTATTCACGTGATTACATTATTTCAACTTTAATGAACATACCATATGTGTATCTTTACAATACCTGATAGAGATTTAGCTGTCTGGCACTTACACATGTCTCATCAGTTCATTCGGATACTCTGCATGTCAAGAGGACGCTAGAGATGATTGGCCTGAAATAACCTCAAGATGTGAGAATCTATGAAGGAAGCACGGATGCTCCAGCAACTGCCACACATTTATTTGTGCCGGTTTTAGTTTTTCCCCTTAATTAAATGTAAACTTTTGCCAAAAAAATCTGAAATTAAGTTCGGTTACTTTTTAGTTCAATAAATAATTTTAGCTACACTGAACGTAGCTTTTTTAAGGCCTTCAGACAATTGAAAAAATTAAAGTCGAGCATGTTAAAACCCTGTTCATTTATAAAATAAAAAATAGAATTGTACAGGTTTGCAGTTAAAAGTTCCTGTTGAAAACCCACATGCACGTTGACAGCTGCGGCCCACGTGGAAGGCGCCGGAGCGGGCAGCGGGCACAGCCGCAGCGGCAGCGGGCACAGCCGCAGCGGTAGAGGCTTTCAGAAAACACCAGGGTGCCAGAGGCCTCGTCTCACATGTACTGAGCCACACGCCAGCGGATTCTCTGACAAATACACATCATTTAATAATCAGTATGTGATAGTGGATGAAAACATGCATTAGACTAAAAATGTCACAAATTTGCTTTATATCCATTCACTATAAAACTTCGGTAAAATGTCAAGCCTGGCTCCTAGCTCAGAACACACAGTAGTCAGGCGGGTACATGATGGGGAGCCAGTTCTCAGTGAAGGACGCGCAGTGGGTCCAGCCAAGTAACTTCATCAGCTGTAACAGAGCACAAGGACGGGAGGTCAAAGCCCAGGGCTTCGGGGCCCGGGGCGGGGCGAGTCCGGCGCGGCCGCCTCGTGGGCCTTTGCCCCCG